AGGGTTCAGTTAAGATTAAGCTGTAATATTAATTATACATTAATATTACTGATCGGAAGCGGCCTCCACCTAGACATTCCGCTCACTTGACCTCACTGAATAATTAGCTTTTGAATAATTCCTAACCCTCTATCAGAATAATACACTTGTTGGAAGGACACCATTCCTTTCAAAGATTAGATGTCACTTATATATACCTGAGTCAGAATTCATGTCTATCGTCCAAAAGGGTTTGTCTTTTTCTTTCAAGAAAAAGTTTGAAGGACAGTATTTTCCTTATTTTGTTGCTTTATCTAGTGATGTAATGGCTTATGAAAGGTTTTTAGAAGAGGAGTCCAAGTCTAAACATAAATACTATGCCAGTATGAATGGAGAGTGCAATCAAGAAGATGACATGTATGAAGTAGCGATAGCTGAGTTTGTACAAGGTCCTTCGTTTCAGTGTCCTCCTTTAACTAAAAAAAAGCTTACTTTTAAGAAAGATTTGAGGTCTCAAACGAGGGAATACACCTTCGATATTAGGAGATGTGATGAAATCTTTGATTGGCTTCTAAGTCATAAAAAGATCAAATTAACAAGGAGACATAAAACAAAAGGTCCTGATAAGGTTAAAGGAAAGAATTACTGTAAATGGAAAGATGCTTTTACTCATTAAACTAGCGATTGCATAATATTCAAGAATAACATTCAGGATGAAATTGATAAAAAACACATAAATTTCCCTGATGAAAAAGTTAGCTCTTGTGAAGTAGAGTCAAGTCAGAATCCGCCTTAGAGTCTGAAGTCTATGAAAAGATTGCAAAGATGCTCTTGTTCTTCCTTAACAATTCTTTGAGGTTAACTCGTACTTCGGGCTCAATGCCCTTGCCAATCTTCACCGGCCTAGAACTATCTCCTTCAGTGAGCTCAATGTCTTCATGCTCACCGTTTGGGATTGGTCTAGCAACTTCTTCCTTTGCAGGCTCGAAGTTCTCCATGGCTAACTTTTGCTTGTCCTTTTCACTGCGGTATTCTTCCCTCTTCCTCTTTTGGATTTCTTCTTATCTTGAACTTCTTTTTTGACTTCTAAGCCTGACTGAGATCTCGCCTTTGCTGGCTGCTTAAGAGCAGTTATATAACACTGTTGTGCTGTCTTCTGACTTCCTCCCAGCTTGGCGGACCTTCCATCATTAGCCGTGTAGGCCATTTCCAAGTGATAGGTGGAAACCACCCCGCTTATCTTGTGGATCAGCGGTCTGCCCATTATCACATTGTAAGGTGAGAGTGAATCTACCACCAAAAATTCGGCCCTGACGTCTCAACGTCTAGACCCTTCTCCCACTCAAACTGATAGTTCCATGATTCCCTCTGGAATTAGACCTGACCCATTAAACCCGGTGACTTCATAGCTCACCCTTTTTAGGTATTTCCTGTCTAGCTTGAGATTCTTGAAAGCGCTGATGAAGATTATATTGGCTGAGTTTTCGGCATCTATCAGCACTCTGTCTACCTCCGAGTTCGCAATCCTCACGATGACTGCTAGGGGGTTTTCATGAGGGTAGACTATTCCCTTCTGATCGTACTCATCAAACACGGCTCATGGCTGAGGTGGTTAAGGTGGCTAGTTGTGCTTGTCATTATGGTTCACTTGGTGAATCATTTCGCGCAGGTCGACTCGAGCCCTATTCACCGTGCCACCATGCACTAGTCTACCACTGATGACCAGCACACTGCCCTTTGGCTTGCTGTCATGGTCTCTGCCTTCATCCCGATCATTCTGACCCCTCCTGCAGTGTATACCAACTTATCTACCTCTCTGCATCAGCTATAATCAAAGTATTATTTGAACTAGTTTAGGTACCCTCGTCGGACTAGATCTTCAATTTTGTCCTTGAGATGTGTGCACTCATCAGTGGTGTTGCCACGGTCCCTATCACAACACTTACTGGGGTCACAGTTTCTATTCGCCATGCGAGGTGGTCTCTGCCACTTGTCCTCAGATTTGTTCACACTGAAAATGTGAGATCTCGAGCGAGTGAGTGGGGTATATTGTTCAAACCTTCCAGCCTGCGCTCCTCTCCTATGATCATGATTTATGACCCCCACTAATATGCCAGCGTCTCTTCGACCTTGCTCTGCTTTGCTCGATCGCCTGATCCACTCTGGCTGGCTGCTCAGCCCGTGCTATATTAGTCCACTTAGCTGGGTCATTTGCCACCCTCCTGCTTAGCATTTCTCTGTCTGTTTCATCTGCTTTGATGAACTCGTGAGCCTTTCCCAATGCCTATGCTAATGTCTTGAGGTTTTTTCGCCCCATATACGCTCTAAAAGGCGACCCAGTCAGGAGCACGCTCTGCATGGCCAGAAGGGCTACCTCCTGGCTCATTTCCGGAATTGTGGTGGCCTCTTTGTTGAACCGAGTGATAAAATCTCAAAGGGGTTCATCCTTTCCCTATACAAATGACATCAACTCAGTGGTCATTTTGGTGCCATCCACCAGGATGACAAAGTGCTCCATGAACATCCTTTTCAGCTGGCTGTAGGAATACACGGAGCCTTTAGGGATGGATCCGCACCATTCCCCCACTGAGTGGAATCACAGTGTAGCCTAGAGATTTAGCATACTTTAACACGCTATCTTTCATCTCACCCACATTTTTTACTGCGGGTTTCTATTTATAACTAAATAATATTAAACTTGGAACCTATAAAGGCAAAGATAGTAGCAAGTCTTAGTCTTAGAATCGAGTTGGACAATATAACTGCCAGTCCTTCCAATGTGGGAAGGAAAGCCTTGCACAAGACTGAGTCTGTCATGGTGTATAGTACCATGTGGTTCTCGAATTCCGAGACATGGTTCTTTGGGATAGTGAAGCCATTGTACTTACAGGTCGGCATCTTGATCTTCTCCATCTGTTCTTCCAGCCTTACAAAATGAGGAATCATCTAAAATCACCTGAAGTCGTGCACGCTTCATCCTGCCCAAGCTTGGCCCTCACTCTGAGATCGGGGATCTGCTGCGAGTGACTCGTGCCTTTAGACTTCCTTTCTCAACTGCTTCTTCATCTCCCCACTCGTGGTTCAGGTTGCAAGCCTCCAGCTCCAGAACCTTCTTTCTCAGCTGGATTAGCTCTTTTTGCTCCGGGGCGAGAACTGGTGACGCAGGGTTTTTGGTTAACGACTCTGGGGTTGCAGCGACTGGCGCTGAACCATCTCCCTTACCAAAATTGGTAAGCATAGCCGTCATCACTCCCAGTTGTTCTTTACTGCATTTGGAGTATGGCTGGCATATTAATAGGCTGAGATTTCTAGGTTGGGTGTGTTTGGGTGATTGGTTCGTATTGTATAGTGCTACAAGAGAATAATCCTAATATAATCTTTATAATTCACAAGAATCAAATAATATAATACTTCGTAAGTGATTACAATATATAATATCAAATATATTCACATAACAAGATATCGTATTATACCAAAGTTAAAAGGATTTGATAATATTATTAATATCAAGAGATATTCGCTTGATCTCTTTATTTGCTAAGTAGTTGGATATAGGGATGTCAGTGGGGCGGGGCAAGTAGGAGACCCGCCTCATCCCTGCCCTAGTGGGGCGAGGAAGGTGGTGGGGCAGGAATGGGATAAAAATCATACCCGCCATGGATGATGGACTGGCCAGTGGTGGATTTTAGGTTGTCCCCGCCCTACCCCACCATCCCAGTATTTTTTTTTTTGTATATTTTCAAGGGACTAATAACTAGGGTTGTACACAGTTTGGTCTGGACTGTAACCAAACTGGACCAAGTCGCATTTTAGCGGTTAGATTTGGTTTACGGTTTCTAAAAATACGGTTTGGTTTCGATTTTTTTGTATATACGGTTTACGGTTTGGTTTGGTTTTTCAAAAGTTATTAACCAAACCAAACTGTAAACCAGTAAACCGTATTTTAATATTTATATAATTTTTAAATAAATTAAAATAATTATTATAAATTTTAAAAAACAATAAAAATATGAAAAATCAAAATACAACAGGGTATACGAGTATACGACTATACGGTCAGTAGGTGAATAAAAATATGTTGTTGTTGGATGAGTGCTTGGACATGTGGTAATACTGTTGGCCTGCTGTAAGCCCCTGATGTTGTTAATCTTGTCATATTGCTGCTAATTAGACATATGTATAAATTATAATAATGACTATAATGTATTATGAATTTATGATGATAAATGATTGTTATTGTATTATGTGTTAGCACTTGGATTGTTATTATTATTGTAAATTTGTAATACAATTAATATGTTAGGGCTAATTATTTAAACTTTATTGTAAGTTAATGATGTATTATTTGGCATTTTTTAGGGAAAAATGGCGTCTCATCATAAACCGCACCAAACCAGACCGTGCTCACCCTACTAATAACTACCAATTAACATTTTACTTTATCATGTTTTCTTTCGTGAATAAGACGTCTCATGCATTAGCACGGGTACGCTCTAGTAACAAAAAAGGGTTAGTTAACTAACGCAAAGCTAACAACAAGTTAATGGCAATTTAACGACAGGGATACAATTGGTATGATTTTAAAAGTTGAGGGTGCCACGTAGAAACTTTAAAAACGGGGATACATGTTAAAATTTGAAGGAAAAAATAAAAAAAAAAACAAGGGTAGAGTTTTTTTTTTTTTTTCTTTTTTGCTATAGAACCGGTTGCAATGGTTTATCCTATCTATAATTCGATTTTAGTCCCAAATCCACAACTTTCTAACCTTCAATTCTCAATCTGCAACATTTTTTTTACCTCGATTTGCAACTTTAAATAAGGTTCAAAAAAATTTCACTTTATTCTCAAAATACAAACAATTATATAAACATCGTTCAAACCAAAAACTAGTTCTTAATCAGCTCCATAAAGTTCAACATTTTACCAAGCCTCAATTCTACTTATGGGCCCAAAAAAAAAAATGTATTATACCACCCTTAGTTACACACACAACATTCATCTTCCGGTTTCAACCCATTTTTAATTTTAGCCCAAAAATACCTTAAAAAGAAGGAACCTCTAAATTTTGCAATCTCCTTTATCCTATCCGTTAAACTCCACTCCCTCAAACTCACTTCTTCAATGGCTTCTCTCCTTTCTCTCTCCTCTGCTCCTCCTTCAACTGCAAATTGTAACAACTACCCATCTTCCAATTTCAAAGGAAACATCAACAATTTCAGAATAAACCCATTTAATTTCACTTCACTAAAACTCAATTTGAGGACCATTATCAGGAAACCTCTTGTTGTTGCTGCTGCTACTTCTTCTTCTTCAAATGTGGTTCGGAGTAGTGGGTCGAGTTCTGAGACCCGGTTCAGGCTAGATAACCTCGGACCGCAACCGGGTTCGAGGAAGAAGGCAAAAAGAAAGGGAAGAGGTCATGCTGCTGGTCAAGGTGGCAGTTGTGGGTTCGGAATGCGGGGTCAGAAGTCGAGGTCTGGTCCAGGTGTTATGAAGGGTTTTGAAGGTGGTCAGATGCCCCTTTATCGTCGAATTCCTAAATTGCGTGGTATTGCTGGAGGTAATCATTTTTTCTAATTTTTCGGAATTTTTTTGGGTTTTATTTAATCCTCTAATTTTGGTAGATTTCAAGTTCATGCGATTATTTTTATAAAATTCAAGTTTATGTGATTGTTTTTTCTTGGGTGTTGTGAATTTAAGTAATTTATGAATTTGGATTTTTCTCTTTTGTTTTTTTTTTTTTTTTTTTTTTTTTTTTTTTTTTTTTTTTGTTGTTACTTTAATGTTCTAATGAAGCAGCTTTAAGGTGGGATTCGAATTAGAATGTTGTTAAATGAGGGATATGTGTATGATATGATACTTGGAAACCAGAATCGAGATTGGGGAGATGTGGATGTGTATTGTGTAATGGTCTAATGGACAGTATACTGTGATTGAGATGTTTAATTTAGCTGCATTGTGGTATGAGGGCAATGAGGTTGAAAAGTTGAATAAGAAATGATGGGTTGTGTACTGAAGATATGATTGTTATCCAACATGTTAAGGCCTTGTTTGGTTAAGAGTTTTTTGGAAAGCTTTTAGGGGCCGTTTGGTTGGGGGTATTCATCAAAAGGAATGGGAATCAACAGGAATCATTCCCTTTGTTGTTGTTTGCTAGACCTTTTTTCCCATTCCCTTTATAGTCTCTATTCCCCCAAATCCTTCCAAGTTCCTTCCCCACCCCCCAAGGTATTTCCATTCCATTCCTAGGCCACCACCATACCACCACCCTCCTACCTACACACATCACCGGAAAACCGCACCACCACCTACCCTTCGCCGCGCCTCCCCTACCCCTAGTCGGCCCTCCCCTCCACCACCTATCCCTCGCTGACTATCCCTCAAGACATTCCCTAATCCCGGCCATCCTCTCGTCGCACCGCCTAGTACCTAACCCTTCGCCAGAACTCGCCGCCCCTCCCTAATCCCTTACTGCCCCTCGCCGCCCCCCGGAACCCTCTTCCCAACTGCGAAAAAGAGCGAGACCAAGAACGCACACTCACGTACCTTTGAAACCCTAGCGAAGAAAGAGCGAGAGGCGAGCTGAGTTCCGGCAAGGGGTTAGAGATGGGCGGCGACGGACCTTCCCTCCCCGGCACCCTCTTCCGAGCTGCGAAAAAAGAGTGGCGACGGACCTTCAAAACCCTAGCGAAGAAAGAGCGAGAGGCGAGTTCCAGCGAGGGGTTAGGGATGGGCGGCGAGTTTCGGCGAAGGGTTAGGGATGGGCGGCAAGGCGGTGGGGTGGCCGGTAAAAGTGGGAAATGAAGAAAGATGGGTTTGTGTGGGTGTGGTGGTGGTGGTGTAGTGGTGGTTGTGATTCCATTGTATTTTTTACAACAAACAACATACTACATCTAAAGGATTTTCATTCCATTCTCCTTCATTCCTTTTGTTCATTCTATTCTGTTATTCTGTTTACCCCGTGCAAACCAAACGGCCCCTTAGCTTATTGATCCCTATTAAAAGTAAGGTTCAACAGTGGCAAAGTGATGGGATTGTGAGGGGTAGGGTAAGTCCTCAGAAAACATGGAGGGTGATTAAGAATAATATGAATGTCATGGTGATTGAGGAAAATATGGTATTAGATAGGCAGATTGGAGGGAGAGAACCCATATCGAGGATGTGTCATGACTTTAAATATATGTATATGTATGCTTTATTCTTTATTTCTTTTACCTAAACTATGTATTTCCTTTGGATTTTTACTTGAGTTTTTTTCCTCTCTCTTTTATCTCCCCTTAGCCTTGTTTTATAATTTTTTCTTAACATTATTTATATATCCTCTTTTGTAGTTTTCACTTTACATTGCCTTGCTCACTATGTTTTTTTTCGTATTTCGTCCACTTTCATTTTATTACTTTTCTTTTTTTGTTCATTTTTCACGGATGGTTCTTGTCAAATAAGTTGGATGATACTAAAGCCTAGAAGATAGCATATAATATGATCATTGGTCTTCAATGTTCAAGTATATGGTGTTTATTCCTTCAGGAGGGGGAGAAAAAAAAAAAATTCCTACTTTGTGGTACATTTACCAAACCATGAAGACATAACCCCAACCTCCACATACTTTGAATTCCTAAATAGTGTGTTGTTGCTGGAAGTAATTATCTTTACTAATTATTCTAACAACTATTTGGATTTATTTTACCCTCTAATATTTGTAGATTTCACATTCATTTGGTTATTTGTTGTAAGAGTTCATGTGATTACTTTTTCTTGGGTGTATTGCGAATTTAGAGATTTTGTGAATTTAATTTATTAGTTACTTAAATGCTCTAATGGAGCAGCTCTGAGGTGGGATTCAAAATTTCAAATTAGAATGTCCATAAATAAGGCATAAATGTATATAATACTCGGAACTCGGAATTGAGATTGGAGAGATATGGATTGGTATGTAGTGGACAATATACCGAGATTGAGAGTTATGAATGATGGTTCGTGTAATTAAGATATGATTCTTATCCAATATGCTGAATGTGCACGACCTATGTTGGTGATCAATTGACTCTTTATGTCCTTGATAATGCAACTCTAGCCCCGAGTATTTCCCAAGTACTTACTTTTCTTGTAAATTTTTATTATCTATCTCAATACCATTTTTGAGGTGGTATTGAGTGCTAATGGATACTACCTTTGTTAAGATTACTTGCAACATTTTGAGCTTTGCCATTTCACACCTTTGACCATCAATATCCTTGGAAAATATACATTAAGATGGATTCAACATCATTTTACATAATAATATTTGTTTTTATTAGTTTTATATATTAGCAAAATAAGATGGTTAAATTGAAGTGTGTGAATAGTGCAAAGCTCAAAATGTTGCGAGTAAATTGGCACGAAGGGAGTATCTAATTATTTATATGGAGAAAGATCCATGGGGTGGAGAAGCATTTTTTTCGTGGACATTTGCATGAGCTTCCTTTGTAAAACTACATGCAAACTCATTTTTAGTCCATCATGGGTCAATAATGCATTCTTTATTTCATACAAATCTCTTGGGCTGATACAAATCGTTCTTGTATTTTTCATACACTTATTTGAGAGTTCAAAGTTATTTTAATATTTTTTTTCCAAATTTACCCACCTCGGACAAGGCTCCTTTAGTCATTTCTAGACTTTGTAGTCTGACACCCATTTTGTATATTTTTTTTATTTCAATCGGCCCCCCTTATGGGATTAAGGCTTTGATTGATTGATAATAAACTTTTATCCAATGAGGAGAGGATTTCAAGGAAAGCTATTGTTCAGGACATCCTTAGGGTACTGCCTTGCAATAATAGTATGCTTCATTTCTAGTTAAATTTTTTCAATGTCTTTAGCGAAGGTGGAAATATTTTTGCAGAATTGAACATCTAGTTTTTTTAATTTTGAACCTAACGTATACAAGTCTTATGTGAACTTAGGATAACAAAAGGCATGTACGAATGTGCAGCCGAATGAATAAAATGATACTGAAGCCTGGAAGATAACCTATAAGATGATTACGGTCTTCTATGTTCAGGCTTATGGTGCTTATTCCTTCTGAAAATTGGCATCCTACTTTGTATTTCCATTTACCACATCATGAAAGCACAACCCAACCCCCACATTCCTCTATAACATGATAGAAGAACCTATTTAAGAAGCTTGTAAGAGTCTTAACATAGAACTCATTGTAGAAACATACTTAATACTTTCTCCGTTCTTTATTTATTGCAATAATTGGGATTATACGCATCCCAAGTTATTAACTATTTTATTCATATCTTCAAATATGTGTAAGTAAGAGTTATAAAAAAATTTGATACTATGAAAGTATACATCAAGACAAATTTAACAAGACTCAACTATATTTTTCCGTATGTAAAATTTGCGATAGATAATCACATGGTATTGTGTGAATATTGTAAAATTCAATTGTTGCAATAATTAAAGAACGGGGGAAGTATGATATATGTATGGAGAATTAACCTATGGCTATGCTACTTAGTAAAACAATAGTTAGTTTAACATCAAATATCATATGATTTATCATCACCTAGTTATTGCTTGAAATATGAGCATGGGGAGTGTTGATGTATAGATGATATTTGAGAAACACGATTTAAAAGAATAAGCTAGCCCATCGAAATTGGAACACTGAAGTCAAAACTGTTGACAATGTTACCGTGGAAACATATAACATTTAACTAGTTTGAATATGCCTGCATGCATCTGCTTCTCACATTCATAGCTTGCATGTATCCGCTTCAATGTATAAAATGGCTCAAGGTGCACTCAGGCAAGATCCCTTTGCGCTGTTTTGTGCCTCATTGTGCCTTGGTGCACCTCATTGAAGTGAGGACACTTAAGAAAGTTAAAAACTTTGGTGAAAAGTTGAAATATTCATGAGTAAGGAGTGTTTACTCGAACAAGAAGTTTATGCTAGAATTGGTTATTTTCTGGGAGCATAAACCTCTTATTGTTAGTGTAGTTTCCTATTTATATTACCCATGAGTTTTGTGATTAGATAAAAGAAATCACCACAACTCGTTTGACAGATATGTTGCCATGAAAATCTGTTGAGGCGTTGGGTGAACAACAAGAATGGAGCATATTCCCTCTCTTTGATTAAGGCTCTAGTAAAGATATAGTACATTGATGTCCATTGTGAATCAGTGACTTCAGTTCGAACAATGAATTGCATGTGTATTGCCTCTCATTGAGTTCAGTTCCAACATTGACTTTTGTAATTTCTGATCCACATTGACTTCATGTCTTCAATCCCAACAATGAATTAGTGTCTTCAGTACCAACATATCCCCACTCTTACTTCCAGAGTTCCAGATATACCTAAATTGTACATAGTGTTTCTTTAAGAAAGTATACAGATTGAGGTGGATTCTCATAATGAAAGACATACTTTCAGCAAATTGTACATAGAGTTTCTATAAGAAAGTATACATATTTAATCTTTCATTCTCCATTTTAAATTTCTAAATTTGTAGCGTGAGGATTCTCATAATGAAAAATGATGCTTAAGCTAGATAACTAGACGTTCATGTTATGGTGTTAGTGGACCTAATTATAGGTTGCTCTAGTTAAAATGATGGCCATGCACTCGTTAAAACAAATTTTATACAATTTTACTTGTGTAAAATAATTTGTTTATGCAACATAAGTTCTATGAGTTACTGTGTAATGGGGTAACCCTGACACTCATATATATAATAAACAATATCATTACACAATTACATTTATAACCTTAGGCTTACGCCATTAAATGGCTTGTGTTTGGCTTTTTACTATTAGTGATTATCATTGAACTGCTGTATGCTTGGAAAAAGGAATTGCTTGTTCACTTTAGTCTTTCAGTGAATTTGTTTAGTTGCTTCAATTGCTCAATGTATTTTTTTGTATACTACTTCAGAAGATTATTTTCATGTTGAGATCATTCAAGTTCAACATTGTCTATCAGTTGCTGTGAAAGAAGTGCATTCAATGGATAGTTACTGTATTCTTGTTAATTAACTTAGTTGAGCTTTTTTGAATTCTTATCCTATACTCTATCATTTAACCTTTGACGGCTTTCCTTTTTCTGGTTCTTGATCTTATTCTCTTGATCTTTATTCTGATGTTCTGTTCAGAGTTCTATTACTCATGCTTCAACCTGTTTTGCGGGTGGAACTATTTCTAAGCTAGTCATGTACATTAATGGCACTGTCATTCAACAGGAATGCGTGCTGGGTTGCCAAAGTACGTGCCTGTAAACTTGAGAGACATAGAGGTTGCTGGATTTAAGGAAGGTGAAGAAGTATCAATAAAGTCCTTGAAGGAGAAGGGTATAATCAATCCATCAGGGAGAGAAAGAAGGTTGCCATTGAAGGTAAGGGTATATTATATGCTGAGAACTGAAGAAAGAGTTATTATTATTTCCAACTGCTGGTCTTATTTAGAGAATTAGAGATGAGATGACACTTTAATACCTCCATGTGACTTGTAAGCTGTGAACCATGTTTGATCATATAATGTTAGATCATAGTTTGCCAAAATGATAACTACCTTGGGTCCAGGGTAACACTTCTTATCCTCCCTCAAGGTATCATGTTAGTTACTGTCACCGTATCATTAGTATTCTGACATTGTAGAAGTGTAGAACTATGGAAACTTAATTCGTAGTACCCATGGAACACTTTTTATTGATGTTTTGTGCTTTTGCCCCTTAGTTGTTATGCCGAGCTATTTGATATTTTGGACATTACTAGTCTTGATTATCCAGTGTGGGTTAACCATTCAATACATATAATAACCAAGCTTGACTCCAGCAGTCTGCTAGTAACATAAGCCTTACTACTCAAGGTCCGGTCAATCGGTCATCTATCTTCCTTTGCTCTATAGTTGCTTCATATTGGAAATTTATTATTTGCCTTTGTGTCTTATGTTTAGATAAGGATTGATAAGTCTAGATCAGGTGTAATAAACTAATAAGCTCAGGTGTTTTCAGGTCAAAAGAAAATACCCTTTTTTTTTTTTTTTTGACAGGCAAAATAAAATACCTTAGGCATACAAGACATTCTGAATCATTCTTATCTTCTTGTTTTATACTGTATCATAAATGATCCCTGGTTACAGGAATAAGAACACATTGTTACTGAGTATGTAGTCTATCTGTGAATAAATGCCAAGTACACAATTAATAGCAGCTGAAGTAAATAGGTCGATTCATCTTTACCATAATTATAAATGAAAAAGACTGATAAGAAGATGAGATAATTATTGCTTTCTGTGATCTTGACTCTGTGCCATTGATTCCTATGGAGCTTGAAAAACAGTCTTTAAATGTTAGCAATATTCTATTGATGTTCCAGCTTACCTTAACAAGTAGTATGCATGTGAGAGTTTGGCATTCGCATTTACAAGGATTATATTTGAGATATGGCTATTTGTCAAGGCCATGGTCTGATACTACAATCATGGTGTTGAAATTGTATCTGGAACTCCACTACTCCAGTATAGGTTGGATGTTTCATTCATTATGCATATTAGATGTTTGCAACTTTTTTTGAGGACAGTTGCGACTTGATAAAGTGTGGTCTTGAATCTGCCTCTGCAACTCATCACCTGATATGTGACAAGCAGAGAAAATTAGCTTTAGTGTCCTCTCTGACTTAAGAACCTCTGTTGGCTAACAATTCTATGGTTGTGCCTCAATTGAGGAGTATTTATAGAACTATATTGCAGAGTTATCAGCACCGATGATTTAAAATAAGTTTTTTTTTATCTGTCCGCGAAATTTCTGTTATACTCTGTATAATCTGCAAGAGGTTGATGAAATGTGTAGTCATAAAATTGCCTAGTAGAAGAGTTCTACAGAAGACGGTAGGACTAAGTTGTGAACATATATAGGGCAAACCTAGAGCCAGCCGTTTAGGAATGGTAACAGAGACTACATCTTCTAACTCTCGGTCCCCCGCCATACATAAAAGGCATAATTTACACTGTACAGAGGCTCCAGATGACAGTTTTTTCCTGAATTGTGTGGGTGACACTGCCACTTGGTAACAGACTCTCCCCTATATGAGCCTTTTGAATAATTCTCCAGATAACAATTTATCCTGAAATCCTTTTAGCATAATATTTGCTATGATCCTCTCAGCTGAAATGTTGTAAACAGCAGCTGGATGTGGTAGTAGCAAGAGTTGCCCTCAAGTCTCCTGAGACACCCAATTAACTTAACTTGTCATGCTGACTGGGCTAACCTGGTGCAACCAATTACTTAATTTATAGTGTACTTTTGACCAATCAGTAGAAGACTGCATTTGGGGGCCATTCAATTAGCAATTGCATTACAAAGCATTCTTACCATCATTAGCTAAGTCATGAACATACACTCCCTTTCTAAGTGCACAAGAAGCAAGTAGCTTCATTTTCTTGGTCTTTTGTATGAAGAATTTATCACTAGTATGCTTATGAGTTTTTGACTTGTCTATTCTTCTTGAGGACTGCTTGACATTTAGTAGTGATCTTTTCTAGACCTGATTTTACAGCTTCAGGCCTTCAGTGATGAAAACAATAAATTATTCAGAATTATGTTCATTTTGAGCTTCTGTCCTTAGTTCTTATGGTTGTTCAACTGCTTCCCTCCTCTTCAATATGGGACTAACCAAATGGTTTAATTTTTCTAATTAATGAACAGTCATCTATCTCATACTGTATCATGATTCTCTTTGGAACCTAATATTTGTGTCACCTTCTCTTCAGATTCTCGGTGAAGGAGAATTAAGCACGAAGCTGCAAATAAAGGCCCGTGCTTTCTCAGGTCAAGCAAAAGAAAAGCTTGAGGCTGCAGGCTGTTCTATCACTGTACTACCTGGAAGAAAGAAGTACGTCAAGGAATCAGTAAGGAAAAACCTTGCTCGTGCTGATGAATACTTTGCAAAGAAACGAGCAGCAGCAGCCGGTGAAACTGAGTCTGCTTGATTTTGATATCAGTGAAGTTAAGATCTTCATAGATGTTTGTAAAGTGTATCCATTCATTTTGCTCTTAGTGTTTCATTGTAGAGTTCAATTTCTTCCGTGCCGGGAATTCTAGTTTATGTTGTAATCATTTTTACTGCAGAATTTGCTAAATCATCACTCAATTGATTAATTATGCCTACTTCTGGTTTAACTTTGACTGCATGGCCTTCTTGAGTATATTTTGTCAAACCAGCAAAAATGTTTTCAGATTTGAGAAAGTATGACTAATTGAATGATAAATGACTTCACAAGTCACATTCGCTTTCTTCTTTTTTTTTTATTATTTTTTTTTTCCCCTTGTCGTGAAGTGGGTTTATTTTGAGGAAAATAACAAAGTTACGAAGACCAAATTAAATGTCTATTTTATAATAGACTAGATTAGTGTCGGTGCGATGTATGGTAGTAATAATTTTTTTTCCCATAATTAATTTGTGATATAATATAAAAATGAGGCAATTCATGTGGAATAAACAAATGCAATGCATATAAGAAATAATAAAGCAAAAATTATTAAAACTACAATTGAGAAAAAAAAAATATATTATTGTTGATTAGTTATATTGAAAATATTTTTAAAATAGTATACATTATATTACATTAATGATGCATGTTATTCCCAATAAAACAATACAATGTAGATGCCGCACGGCTTTTTAGTAATGAATTAATTTAGCTAATTAAAAATAAATAAATAAATAAATAAAAACTATAGAATGTACTTCTAAAAAATAAGCTAAGTAGAAAAAAAAAAAAAAAAACTAAAATTAAATTGACATCATATATTGTATTGGCGGGAAATTTTCTATGATAACTTGACATATGTCCAAAATGATCAATGTAAGCATGACCTGTTTTAATAATAATTAATAGATTTTTTGAGGTTACTTATTCAGGGGTTACTTGGTCGGTTAAGGGTTACTCAGTCATGGGTTACTTATTCTGGAGTTACTCGGTCGGTAAAGGGTTACTCTCATACAGAAAACGCGTTAATCGACTAAATAAATTTAGAATAAATAACCCTTGACCGACTGAGTAACCCCTAAATATGTAACCCTGGCGAAAATGCGCTAACCGACTGAGTGACCACAAAATAAGTAACCCTTAACCGACTGAGTAACCCCTGAATAAGTAATTCTTATACACCCTCCGTGTTTTAATAATTGTTACACTTACTAAATGTGTCTGTGTTTAAATAACTGTTACACTTCCTCTTTTGGCTAAAAGCTACATTTTAATATTATATCTCTATCCTCTCATTGTCCCCGCCCAAACTCACTACTACTTTTTTTTATTATTTTTCAATAAACTAATAGTCTAACCACCACATACATTACTTTTCAATAAACTATTAACCCTACTATCTTTCTTTTACAATTTTTTAATAGTCTAACCACCCCACTTACCTCTTATTTTATTTAAGTCAATAAAATTGCCTAAAACTATGGGTCAAAGTGTAACACTTATTAAAACACGGAGAGAGTAAGTAACCCCGATCATACGGTATGGCCAGCTACATAGAAAAAGCACCGTAATTCCTTTTATACACCTAAGTTAATTACAAGTGTATCTTCAATATGTCAATTGATTTTAATTTGCATGACAGACATAGTATCAATTTATTCTTTATACCTACAAATAGCAAAAATTCTAGGCAAAATTGGTATTAACAATACTAACTATAGTTGAGGTGCACCCAACGATCTTAAGCTGGTGTAACTCACACTATGAATTACGAGCTTGAATATAGCCCACCACACAATTTATGGGTTTGTTACAATAAATAATACGGAGTATTATCAAATATTTTAGGAAAATTGTCATTGGTATACTTCTGGTATTTCGAGTCAATACTAGAGGTGTGCCAATGATAATTTCCCAATATTTTATTTCACATTTGATGATTTATGTCAATTTTATGAACTACATGGGCTTGGGTTGTTACTCCGCTAAGGAGGTTTAAAAAATTGCAAAGTGTTGGGATCGTGAGAGATTAGTAAACACCTAAGAAAATTTGGAGGGTGATTGAGAGTGACATGAGTACTTTGGGGATTGGGGAAAATATGGTGTTGAATTGGACGGGTGGAGGGAGAAAATTCACGTCAACGACGTGTCGTAATTTTATATATATATTTTCTAAATTTATTTTCGTATTTAATTTTTTTACTTTATCCCACTAATATTTTATGAAATGTATTGATTTTCTTTGCTAAAGTTTTCTCAAACTTTTATGTTTTTTTTACTCCAATGTTTTAATCAATCCTTTAAAACTTTCTTGAATTTTATTTTTGGTTCTCCTTTAAAACTCCCTTAAGTTTGCTTGGATGCTTTTTCTTTTGCTCACTTTATTCACCTTTTTTTCAAACACTTTCAAATGATTATCTTGTTATGTCCCTTTATTTATATCGTACGGTTCCTTATAACGATTCATGTTAGCCGACTCCAAATCATTTTGAAACTAAGACTTTGTTGTTGTTGTATATGGGGCTTGGGTGCAAGGAATGACATAGATTAGAGAACATATTCTTGTATTTTATTTCACCTCTAGTGTCATGTATATCATTTTATATGCACCCAATCTTATGCTTCATGGTGTGGGCTGCACCTACTTAAGGTCTTATTGTTGACTGCATCCAAGCCGTAAGTAGTGCTATTGAGATCAATTTTGCCAAACTTTTAAAATGCTCCATCTGTTTCATACAAGTAAATAGCAACAACAACGGAGAGGCTAGAAAAGGCTAACAAATTTTAAGTTAAACTCGCTTTTAAATAACCAAACTAACCATTAAAAAAATGATTGAAAATCGCTGGGAGTAGCAAGTCATACACTGTGTAATCTAAAGAATAATAGGGTGATCCACTACTATAAATATGGTAAGTAGGTACTTGTAATGTTTGTGACATCAATTTTAACTCTTTCTCGTATTAATGCAATCACATGAACACATGGCACATGTGTACACGTGAGTTTACTGCTTAATTGTACTAACAATTGACATTTGAATTTAGGTAAATTCACGATTCATGTTACAAACCAGCTGTGTAACGAAAATGACATCTTAATTATAACTTTGTAATTAAAATTACTAATTTTTTCGATTTTTTTTTTTATAGTTGCAATACTTTCCTAAAATAAAAATGTCATAATATGTGCGACACACTATAAAAGGAAGGTTTTTATAGTGAAAATGTACTATTACCTTTATTTAAAGCTTATGGCCCACTTGATTATACTCATAACTAGACCTGGCAATCTTGACCCAGACCCGATGACCCGACCCATGACCAGAAATTGACCCGAAAACAGTGACCCCGAAACCCGAAATCAACCCGACCCGTCCCATACCTGACCCAAAGTGGAATTGACCCGACCTTGACCCGAAACCCGAAATGACCCGACCCGAAACGACCCGAACCGATATGACCCGACCCAAAGTTGACCCGAAGTGACCCGAGACCGAAGTTTTCCCGACCCGAAGTTGACCCGATACCCAAAGTGACCCGACCTTTAACTTGAACTAATTGACCCAAATAGACTCGAAACCTAAAGTGATCCGAACTAAAATTACTTTATATCTGAAATGACCAGAATCTATTTAAACTAACGATTTGACCTGAGCAAACTGAAATAGAAAATAACCGCAATCAAACTAACTTAATTTTTTTTATTAATTTGTAATGTGTAACAGTGTAAGTATTTTACATATTTTGAGATTCTTGGAATACAAAATCTTCTAGGCCACTTGAGTAAAAAAACGCTTCCCGACCCGAAATCGACCCGACCCAAAATCGACCCGACCCGAACTCGACCTGCAGTATGTGACCCAATACCCGACCCGACCCGATTATCAGTTGACCCGAACTCAAACCGAAACCCGAAATGACCCGACCCGAACTTGACCCGATAACTTTTTGACCCGAACTTGACCCGACCTATACTCGACCCGAATGACCATTTACCAGGTCTACTCATAACAACCTCTAACCCCATTTTAAAAGAAAGTATTTTAAACTATAATTATAGCATACGGTATGGTCTTAATAAATATGACAAGCTACCAAATTTTAACACGGAATATAAGTTTATTATGCTCCACTGGCAGGCAACCAATGTGGTATGTGGAGGGAGTCATTTTATGGTCGTGTGATGTCCCACAACATGGATTCTCAACGTTGACAGTTCAATTATGATTTATCTCTTTTAAATGATTGGTAAAATAACGTAACTTACACTATGTTAACAATTGTTAAAATCGCAATAATTTTCAATGAGACTGTTGGAAATATACAATATGGAATGTAGGTTTTTTTTCATTTTTTTTTCCGGAAAATATAGGGGGTTTTAGGGGTACAAAGATGAGTGACTTTTATTTCACTTTTAATCCTTTTAAATATTGTCATTTATAAGATAGATAAAAACAGTTTTAAATTATGAGAAATTTATGGGTAAATAACACGTACTATGGACAGTATCGGATTTAGAAAACTTTTTAAAATGAGTGTGGTGTACTATATGATTATTATGTGGGTGCAACATATTAAAATTTCGTATAAAAAGTATATAAATAGAGAAATGTTTTTTTTTACAATCAAATGTATTAAAAAATATTAATGAATTTCTTAAGATTTGAACTTGTGACTTTGGGTTAAAATTAGCTTCTCTAACCATTAAACTACATACAATTAATATTAAATTTAGGACCTATTCAATTTGTATACTTAATTTGTATACTTAATCAAGTAGGATTAAATGACCCCTCTTACACTAGGGTGGATCTGTCCCTGACTATGGACTTGTATTCCACAAGCCCACAACCATAAGATTTTTAATCTTTAGATAGCGTAGTTGACATATGACATGAGAAAACTGAAACTTCTCACCTTATGAGAAAATCATGAGCAAAACATACGAAGTGGGCTCCATAAATATAATAGAGTATGATGCACATGTGGGTCCATGAATGAGAGGGGAAAATTGCATACACTTCATTGATGAATAAAGTATCTCACTAGAGTGTTTTATTATCCTCGTTGATGATGAGAAAATCACTAGTAGAAAAACACAAATGCACGTCGATTCAAAACCCCCCTATCGCACCGGTTTTGAACCGGTTTAGATTTGAGGAATGTCAGAAAAAAAAAAAAAAAAAAAAAAAAAAA